GTAAATGAACGCCTCGTCGATCGACAGGCAATATGGTAGCCCAGCCCAACACGATGCCGACTGAACTGCTCTCGTATTCCTGAGAAACAACGGGATCAGGATATCGTCGATAGAAATTTTCTGTGATGTAAGCTCTTACTGCTTACTTTGAATGTCGAATATGGCGTCAGTAGTCTGGTGGTTTGGCTACCGGAATCATAATCATGGGGTTGCAGGTTCGGGGGTTCAAGCTGCAGGCCGACGTTGTGTCCTTGGGAAAGACACTTTACACAAATCTCCCTCACTCTACCCAGGTGGGAATGAATACCCGCGAAACGTGTAAATACGCACGCCTCGGTACCAGGCCATAGACAGCGAAAGATCGTGTCAGTATGTGAGTGTTTTGCTTGCACTGTATGCTTCCCTGGAAGTTGAGTTTGTTTCAGAATGCTATCATGTCTGCTGAGGATAATGGATTGTAAAGCGCAAAGAGCTTGCTGTTGAGCGGGAATGTGCGCTATTCAAGTAATATATCTATCTATTACTATGTACTCGTGTCAGGGTTTTTCCAAATTCCACTTACAGTAACAATGTATCTGGGGACGTATGTTATAAATCTCTCTCTCTCTCTCTCTCTCTCTCTCTCTCTCTCTCTCTCTCTCTCTCTCTCTCTCTCTCTCTCTTTTTTTTTTCTTTCTCTCTCTCTTCAGTTTCGTCTGATCTGATTAGCTTCTTTGCTTTTTGTTCAAAACTGGAGGAAAAACAACTAACAAATAATATACTAACCGAAAACTGGTTGTCACACCGGACATAACGCAGGAAACTAGATGGTTGAGGTCGCCGAAAGACGGCGCAGAGAGTTTGAGGGTCCTGTAGCAGATGTCATAGAGCGCCTCGTTGTCCAGCATGTAGACGTGGTCGGCAGCCTCGATGAGTACGTTCAGAGACAGGATAGCGTTGTAGGGTTCTACAACCACGTCAGAGACCTACGAATGTTAAATGAATCGAGTTCGGGGCGATGGTGTTAGTACCGGGTGCCCACTGGCACGATCGGGTCGGGTCTGATCGGGTTGCTAGCCAAATTGAGGGCGCAAAGCGGCTACTGTGGCACTAGCCGATTCCCCGACTCGCCGCCTAAAAAAGAAACGCGTTTGTTTTCAGGCGACGAATCGGGCGATCGACCCGACCCAACCTTTATGAGGGATAGGTAACCAGCGTCTGTAGTGTAGCGGTCAGGCGCTTCGCTGTCGCACACAGTAAACCCGATTTCGAAGATCGTTTAGGAGGGGGGGCTCCTTCTACCCTACCTGTCAGGGCCAACCCGGGTTGAACAGGATACAACATCCAAGCAGACAAACATCAAACGGTGACAGTCGGCAAAAAAGAATCTCCCCAGGTGATAATCATACTCACGTATTCCGTGTGTAGTGGCGAAGAAAAGACCGCTATTATAAACCACATAGCATAACAGCACTCAGTTGTATATCTACAATTCTTGAAGTATAATAAATGAAGCTTGACTCTTAAAAGACGCAGCGGATACATGTCTAATCAGCAGCAGACCAAAGAACACGTTCCAGAAAATTTTGAACCAGCATACACAAATCAGAAACATGGATTTGCGTATCTCTGGATGTTTATGAATGCCTTTTAAAACAAAATTTGGAAATATGTACGGATAACGAAAACATGCCTCTTTTTATGCCTAAAATAGCGCTTCCTCCATGAAGCTTAAGTGTTTGGCCTACTTTGGGTGAAGGCAGCACAGCGAAAGAGCAGAACATCCGGTCAGCGAACTCCTCCTTGAGCCGAAGCATGAGCAGACAGCCCAGGCCAGAGCCGCAGCCACCGCCCAACGCGTGGGCTATCTGTAATGACGATTGTAAAACACTGTCGGTCATGGTGATGAGAAACCTAAATCAAGAGCTTGGATGCCAAAACGGAGAGTAAATAATTACCTTGTATCAAAATCATTTTTCACTGGAATAACCACAAAACAAAAATCGCCTTAGTTTTAGTAAGGTTTCACGGCGCTTGCAACTGCATCAGGTCGTATGAGCGCCAAGGGGTAGATGTCAACAGAGAAGTCCAAAAGGGGAAATCAGGTTTACTCTGCACACCTCTCGAGCCTTAACAGTACAAAGTCTGCTTCGACTATCAAGGCACTCAGGAAACAGCAGTTCACAGGAGAGGGACAAACATACAAAAGAAGTAGAGGATAAATGACGATAGTAAGGATGTGGAAAGAAAAAGCAGCAGTTCCCTCTATGTTGTTCCGGCACAGTATGAGCATGACATTGATTAATCAGCCCATTTACGATTCTACCTTAACATGTTAATACCCCCCACCCCCCTTTGGGAATGGCCCAAAGACAGACAACTTCAGTCAGTAGCACTGCCCTGGGGGGACGGGGAGGGAAGACCGCCGATAAACATAATAGGAAGGAGAAGTCCATCTAAAAAGTACAATGCAAAGATACACAAAAGTTAGGATTTTAAGAAGGACATTTGTGCCATAATCCCCACTGTAATAAATGGTATTTATGATGCGAAGCATGGACCATCAAAGAACAAAATAAAAACAGGATAGCACCTTTCGTAATACGATGATATATAAAAACTCTAAGAATATCCCGGAGACAGAAAATTAAATGTAATCGATCAAATCAAACAAGCCAGTGAGCCCAATTCAAACTGTTGACGATTTCGGGATGTGCAGAAAGTACAACTTTATCAAATTTCAACATTCTGCATTTCTCATATGAGGTCATCATATCATATTAAAAGTTGGAGTGGGAAAAGTGAAAAGTAAACATGTTTAATTTCATAAATTGTAGAACAAATCTAAATATTGTATTCCGTGAACTCGTCCTCTTCCGAGCCCTGCCACCGACCTGAAATCCCTGCAGACAGTCACAACCTTCAGCCTCTTTTCGAGCAATGTCCAGTACACTATCAGCAAGTTCAGCACCATCGGTGAAATGACCTGTAAAAAATAAGTGTATGGGTTTAACGTCTCTTTCAACACTATTAGGTTATTTAAGAGGCAAGTATATCTGAGTATAAATATAAAGCCTGTCTTCGATATGAGTTTCATCAATGTATCATTATTATCATTATTTTTAAAAATCTAATTAATTAACTAATTGATTAATTTATCTGTCTATTAATTAATTAATTTATTCA